AGGAATGAAGTTCGGATGGCATTGGAACGAACCTTCTACCAATGGCACATACCTATCAACGTGAATTAACACTCACCTTTCCTCCCTATTTTTTTGGGGGGGGCAAACTTTTAACTGGTTTACCCACTGTCAAAATGCAAGAGAAGCACTCAAAAAAAATCCATTGAAGATTTGGGATACAAATATTAGTATCCTGGACAGACAGTGTCAGTACCACCAAGACACCATGTCCAATCAAGCTGAATACAAGTGGCATGAGAAAGAATGGGCATAATTTTCTGTATTGTTAACCTACGACTCTGTTATTATAATCAGAACTGGGTCCATCCCCCCCTTTTGCTAGCCTAACCCCTTCAGCACTTCTCTCCCTAGAACGTTAACCTTTGGCGTTGCTATTTTAGTTCTCCGAGGCAAACAGCGATTTGATGATTCAGAATCAATGGTCCTCCTCATCCATTGAATCCATTGCACACTAACATTCATGGAGCAAAAGTGTGTACTCAAACGACATTTCCCCCGTCCTTGAGAAAGAGAAGGAGATGGGAGGGAGAGAATACTGCCATTAATTTCTCTCCAAGGGCTGTCTTTTAATAGAATCTTCATATTTCAAAACATGTGCAAACTGCTGCAACCTCAAATTTATGTGGGGCATCAATATTTGGCATTGTTTTGATATTGTTCTGAAATATAGATAATGGGATGGTTAAGAGGGGTGGGTGGGGAGGAGGGAGAAAAATGAGACCATGGCAAGGAGCCTTGAATAGTCTCAATGCCGCCAACATTTCAAGTTTTCGTCAGAAAATGTTAATGCCAGATGACCTTTTTTCTGAAGGGCGTTTTGAGGAGACCAGGCGAAAAGATCATTTCTGTAATATGGTTACCATAGTGATCAGCCCTTTTTAAAAGGCTGGAGGGAGGTGGGAGAATGGATGTACATTTGCAATCAACTAGTGACTATAACAACAAATGGGCTTGATAAAGCAACACTTTGAATTTAATTCCAAGCAACAAGGATAGCGGGGAAGAAAAGAAGCTATTCAAGGAGGTGGACAAAAGGGACCTTTGGTAACATTTATGATGAACTGGGAAGCATTTTGCTTGAAAAGGATATACTTGAACATAATAGCAGCCAGGTTTCTCTTCCCAGCTATGATTTCACCATATGTACTGGAAGAATGAAACGTGTGATGCAGTGATTCTCAAACTGTGGGGGTTGGGGCGAAAGATCCACACATTTAAAGGGCAGGACTTCCCCCAAAGAATCATGGGAACTGTAGTGTTTACCCTCACAGATATACAATTCTCAGGATCCTTCACAAACCAGTTACCAGGATACTTTGGGGGAAGCCATGTGCATTGAATGTGCTTTAAATGTATGGTACAGGGGAATCTAGTGTGTCAAGAAACACTAGCGTGCTAAGAGATGAGCAGATATATGAACATAGGCCATTGATCCATCTACCTCAGTACTGTCTACAACAGCCTTTCTCACCCATGGGTTTTCAGATGTTTTCGGACTACCACTACCATAATCCCTGACTGCTGCCCCTGCAGTATGTTAAGTGGGAAAAACAAGTCCCCATTGATTCTAGAATAAAACGTCGTGTGTACACACCCTTTGGGAAAGATTTTGAACCAAGCTTTTTTTTTTTTACAAAATATTATTTTGTGTGTGCGTGCACCATGCACACACCTCCCCTTCCAACACAACTCCATAACTGCCTCTTAGGATTTTGGTTTTTTTAATTTTCTTTTTAATGGCATGTTGCAGCTATTCTAAAGCAAGCACAGTAAGATTTTAAAAGGGCACAGTTGGGACTTGTTTAATAAGACCCAATTGTTTCAGGAGTCAGCGCTGGGCAGGCTCTTAGTAAGCAATGAAGTCATCACGGCCAAATTAAATCCAAGTTTGGTGGCCACTTCTGTCTTGCCATTCTACAATTCAGTGAGAGCTAAACAGAACAAATTGATTTGCTTTAGAATCAATCAAATCCAGAGAGAGAGAGAGAGAGAGAGAGAGAGAGAGAGAGAGAGAACAATTCTTTTTCTGACATGTCCACTTCCAGTACTAACCCTTCCTGTCTTAATCAGTACTTTGAGTGCTATCTGCTGGAAAGATAATTGATTGATTGATTGATTGATTGATTGATAATCCACACGTTCATAAAAATATATCATGGCAGTATACAGCATTTAAGCATAAAGTCAGCAATAAGCATCCATTAAAACATAATCAAAACAACAGTCAGTTTTGCTTCTCTGTGTTTCTCTTTTTTCCAATCTTCAATTCAGTTCTCTGCATTTGTGCAACAACTTGTTGGTTTTTTAAAACAAAAACAAAAACCCTCATGAAATGTCTTTAAAAATTTGGTGCAAATTTTTCCTAACACATTTTTGTATGTGATTCTTACTAGTGGACACATTTTTGCCAGCCATTTCTCCTAATATTAGGCATTTCTGAATGTTATGTTCACTAATATGTTCCTTTTTATGCATGCAGTTTCTTCTAATGCATGCCTTAAAAAAAATTGGTTAGTTTGAGAATTGCATGGCAAAATTTGAAAAAAAAAAAAGTGTGAATTTCAAAAGATGGCTGCATTTCAGTTCTCTTACCATTTTGAAAAGTGCAAATTTGATTCATTCAGTTTTAAATGTGAATGTGAATCAAATTTCGCCTCCATCCCTAACAGGGATGGAATCTGAGCTGGGATCTTAAGTAAACTTTTGCTTCTATGTACATGTCTGAATACCATCTTGGACTGCCCCAATGATCACTACTGTATCAGATAACGAGAAAGCATTCAGTGATCGCTTCCATTGGGCAATACACACACACACACAAACCACTTACTTTTCATATACCTGGAGCTAATCTTCATCAGACTCTGCAGAACTGTCACTTTCATCTGATGAACTTTTCACTTCATCCTCTAAAGATGACTTTCTCTTTTTTCCTGCGCAACAACTGTTTTGAAATTTTGTTATTTGCTATTAATAATAACCAGGGTGGATTTGATTTGAATAAAATCGATTTAAATCATGATTTAAATCACGTCAGTAAGAATTGATTTAAATCATTTTTTTACAGAAAGACTTATTCTTGCTGGTATAATCTATAATTAACAACCAGATGAAGGTTTCGTTTTTGGAATAATAAATTTTCAGAGTAGATTTTACGGTTATATCAAAAATTACTGATTTGGTTATACTGTTAGAAGATAGACAGATAATTATGAAATTATTGTGAGGTTTAATAAGTTAACTGTTTATATTTGGACAACTTTTCTGGTGTACTTTACTGGAAGGAGAAAAATAATCATTTCCTTAATAACAATTTTGACAATTTAACTAAAACAATAACATTATAGCATATGTATCCATGTTTGTTAACTGATGTGGTTAAACAATAAAAAGAAAAAAATAGACTGAGTTTTAGGCACATATGAAAAACTTAAAACAAATACTGGTACTTATTTCCTGATGAATAGCCTTTGGACTATAATGTAACTTAAATAGAAAACTATCTTTAGAAAGATTTTTCCTCCTAAAGCATTTTATTTAAAAAATCCAATTTAAATTTAAATTTTAAAAATCTGTTTTAAATTTTAAAAATCTGGGTTTTGTAATCATGTTTATCCAACATGATAACAATAATAATAGTACAAATTCCACACTGCACTGTTGAATTAAGGCAGACTTTATGTTAAACCAGTGGTTTTCAAACAGTTTCAGGAATCCCTGGATTTTCTCAAAAGCTCATTAGCAGCTCCTTAGCTTGAAGATCAGTAATACTAGATGAGGCAGTTTTAGGGTAGACCCGTGTGACCATACTGGACATTGCACAGCAGAGGGTGCCACAACAATGCTGTAGAACGGAGCGAATGAGGTGGTGTGTGTGAGAGAATTTTGAGAAATTTGAGAGCCCAAAGTCCACCACTGATACAGGCCAAGTTTCCCCAAAGATTAAAATTTAAAAACTCATTCTCTATCACTTATCTCACCCTGCAGTGTGCAGTCCCAAGATAATATTGGGTTCATGCACTTTTATGTCAAGGGTGTTCCAATGTTTTGCCCTCCAGCTGTTTCAGACTACAACTCCCATCAGCCCTAGTCTACATGGCCTATGTGGGTGTGTTGGGATCTGTAGTTCACATCATTCAGAAGGCCACAGGTTACCCACATTTTGCTATCTGAGAAACCATTCCAGGGGAAACCTTACTTACAGGTGCTTCTCGATGGAATGGGACCCTGATCTTACCTGTAGTTAAGCTATTAATACCCTTTTGATGAAAACACACACATAAAACCAAAGAAAATTGCCTTGCTTGTCCCAGTGCAGCATGCTGATTAATTTAGGAATCTAAATTTAGAATTCTACTGGTATATCTTGGTGTGATGTATTCCCTGTATAGGGAAATTGTTTAATGTCTACCGTTTTATTAGGTTTTCATGTATGTTGGAAGTTACCAAGAGTGGCTGGGACAACCCAGTCAGATGGACAGGGTGCAAATAATAATAATAATAATAATAATAATAATAATAATAATAATAATAATTGTTGTTGTTGTTGTTGTTGTTGTTGTTGTTGTTGTTGTTGTTGTTATTATTATTATTATTATTATTATTATTATTTCCCACTCTTCCACATAGACCACCAAACAAGAAAGACCCCTCTTCCAGATGCAACCAGTTTAAGATACTACTAATGTTCTAAACTTTCTTACAAAGAAAATGAAAGCATTTTATAGGCTCTAGATTGAACTATCCCATTCATTTATTCAGTCAGTCAGTCAGTCCAAAACCTATACCCCTCAGCCAGACATCTCTCAATCTTCTCCTTTTGGTGGATCTCATACCTTCTTTCATGAATCAATATGAAGAAATAAAATAAAATCCTGCTCTCCTTTTCTAAACGATAACATTAGCAACGTTTTCTTGGGGCTTAATCCTGGAATATTTTAAGTAACTCATGGGAGGCCAACATTTAGCTAATCAAGTTTGTATAAAGCGTCAACTTACCTATACAGCACAAATATACAGAAGGCCACCATGACGATCACTATTAAGCAAATAAACGCTTTCATGTATTCTAAAAATAAAAATGCAACTTTCTTCAAATTTCTGACAGGGTAAAGTGTTAATTTTGAATTTATTTATCTTTTTTATAAAGGACAGCTTTGCTACAAGCATGCAATGGAGACTTATGTGGTCAGTACAAGCACTGCAGTTGCCTACCTTACCTTGTGGTCTGTGCCACTGTTTAAAACAAGCCTCAGAGAGTCATCCTGTTCTGCCTAATCCTATAGATAAACTTCCCTTCAAAGCGATTGAAACCATCTTCTGAACTGAAAAGGTACAGTTGACATCATCAGACTTTTCCTGTTTGGCACAGTCTTCACTTTAAGAGGAGAGATGGTTCTCTCTTTTTTTTTTTAAAAAAAAAGGACCACATTAACCAGGATTTTTCCCCTCCCCCAAAACACGCGCACATACACAACTGTAGATTTAGGCAACATTTCAGTTAAGGAGAGCTTCATACACAGCTTCTTCAGGTTCGTCTAAATGATGAAAGGATTGCAATCATGAATGTTGAAGTCCATGGCCAGCAATTTATCCTGTATTTGAAGGAGCTCTTTGAAGCATTGATGGGTCCAAATAGTTTAAAAGATTGTGGTTAAAGTTAAAGAACCATAACACTTGGACAGCCCAAAGTTTTCCCCACTATCATGAGATGCATTCTACTTCTATTTAATTTATAGTAATTATTTCTAAATCTGAATTGGCACATACAGATTGGCCTATGTAAATTTTATGCAGATCTGCGTCCTCTGTTTGATGATGTGGCCATCCTACCAGCAGTGCAGGCCAGCTGAGTTGGGGAGCTGCTGTGGCCAAGGCCCATTTAAGTAGCCAACAAACAAAGCAGGTGGCTCAGACCCTGCCAAGGCCCCCCCAAGTCAGAAGCAGCACTCACCGCCTCCATTCTAGTGGAGACCCACAACCAATGGGATTGTAGCCCTGAATCTCAACAGACTCTCAACAGGTTTATTCATCTGAGTTCAGATGGGCCCAGCCAGTTGGAGGCAATCCACACTGCCTCTGAGCTGGCTCTGTGCCTCAGAGTCCCATGTTGCGACTGTGCATAGGATTATTTGGTATTCTCCTAGGTATTCGTTTTCACTGCATTTTGTTCTATCCTATATTTCAATAAGTTGGCTCCCAAGGCAGTTCACAGTTGAATTCCAGTGCAAAGAGAACACTGAAAATGAAATGCAATAAAAAATAAATAAAAAAATGGAACATCACCATTCCTGTGCAAAATCAAAGTTCCCTTTCCAGAAACTTTTCTGCCTACTCCATTATATAGCTCTAAAGCACTTAGGCATGAGATTGGCTGGCTGCCCCAAATCTGAGTTCTTTAACACAGGAGTGGAAATATTTGGATAATGAGGATTCCTCCCCCCCCCCACTTAGTCTCTTTTTATAATTTTCCATGTCCCCGTAAACCAGGGGTCCTCAAACTTGTTTAAACAGGGGGGCGATTCACTGTCCCTCAGACACTGTTGGGGCCGGACGGGAAGTTTTGGAGAGTGGGCTGGCACCCTCGCAGGAACTGGGTGCCTCGGAAGCTGGGAGCCTGCAGGAGCTGGCCGAGAGCGGCACACACCTCTTTCAAGGAGCACGAAGACGGAGACAAGGACAAGCTGTTGCCTCACCTGCATCTGCCGCCCTGTGCAGGCGTTTCCACCCCTTCATCCTCCTGAGGTGAAGGCCACCGCATGGGCCACTTCACCGCTGGCCTCATTGTCCTCCATCGTGTCAACTGCCATTGGAGCACAGCAGCGGCCCCACCGAGCCCGGGCCGGCTGGCCTTCTCCAGGAACGCCACTGTCACCCCCCTCATGGGGACACAGAGCGGCGGCAGCCACAGGAGCACCAAGGCGGCAGTGGCGGCAGAAGAGGCTGAGCGGCGGTGGCTCTGCCAATCAAACACCGAGCCTCGGTTACCTCAGCACCGCGCAGGGACGTCTCTGCCAATCAAACGTTGCGCCTGGTGCGGCACAGCATTTGATTGGCAGAGACGTCCACATGCCACACTGAGGTAAAACAGGCATGGCGTTTGATTGGCAGAGCCGCCGCTTGGCCTCTTCCTCTCGTCACCATCGGTGGGAGTCTCGGCTTCGTGGCAGGTTCTTAAATGGCTGGGCGGGCTGGATTTAGAACCCTGGCGGGCCTAATCCAGCCCGAGGACCAGAGTTTGCCGACCCCTGCTGTAAACCTTAAATACACTACAAGGGTCCTGTTAAGGACTGGAAGGAACAACTGGGACATTTTGTCTTTCCTCCAGTCGGAAACTTCATGGTGCCATGTCTGTCAGTTTGGTTGTGATACAAAACCATCCACAGTACAGTCTAGATGGTGGATGCAATACTACTATCCATACATATACATACATAGTATATTCGTTACTCAATGAAAGAAAAGAGCTCTCCTGCCAGAGAGAGAGAAACTAGGACTGAGCATGCTCAGTAGCCTTCAGGAGCCATGGGGTGTTGATAGCGTCCATTGGAGAGGGGGGAGGAAAAACAGGGTAGGTTGATAGGAGTTGCTTTGCTTAAGCCATGGGATCTTATAGGATTCTTGAAATTAGGACTTGGCTGTAGGAGAAGTGCACACCATGAGTTTTAAGAAAAGCTCTTCTCCTCGTGCTATAAACAATGAGGCTTCAAGAGGGAAGAAAGGGGAAATGATACGTTTCCTCTTTCCTACTCTCCAGAACCCGCCTGTCAAACATTTGTGATCATGCTGTATCACATCTCCTTGTTTTTGTGCAGTAATTGCCAAGTTAATTTGTGGCTGTCCCAGGAAAACTGCTTTCTAGAAGCAGCCACAGAGGGATGATAATAATAATAATAATAATAATAATAATAATAATAATAATAATGGTGATGATGATGATGATGATGTTCTTACTTGAAGAAAGGGGAATTTGCTCTTAAGGTTGGCAACTGAGCTTGAGTTTGGGCTACAAAATTATAGTTACTTACGTGGTACAGCTTTCTTATAGCACGTTTCTTTGTGGTAACAGCACCCCAACTCTGAACACTCAATTCTTGATACATTTTCACGGCATATTTCATAAAAGGGGAATTCACAGACTTCAGAAAAGAGAAAGGCCCAAAATGAATTGCAACCATCTTTTAAATAGATCTATTTAAATACGTTAAGAGTTCTGCACTGCTGTTCTGTTTATTTTAAATAGATTACGAGCTGCATTCAATAGCCTTGATCCTAAAACCTTATATCCAAAGACTTTTTGCACATATATGGATCTGTCATGTTCCCATATGACTGATTTGGGACAGGGAAACCAAACTTCTCACAAAATTTGTGTGTCAGGTAGAATGCAAACAGCAGACAGATATTCTAAGACACTTCTGCACACAGATTTCCATGCTGAAGTTAACACAGCAGGTCAAAGTAAATGAGAAATGAGTCACTTGAGCTGAGGGACAGGATGAAGCCCCAAAAGACTAGATTCCAGCCATACCCCTTCCTCTCAATAGTTCTTCAAGTCGGAAGTTTCTTTTTCTGTACTCCTGCATCTCCTGACCCATGTTTCGCACTGACACTTCCTTCGTGGTTCTACTTAATGACCTTCGCATTGGAGACTGTAACTCAACAGCCTCTCAACAGATATGGATACCATGAACCACAGTGTCCTTCTGGACTGGCTGTTCAGGATAGAAACTCTGGCACACTTTCATTGCTACCTAGTGTGCCCCACAGAAGGCAGTGCTTGTGGGACCATTACTCTGCCAGCATCCTGCGCATATTTGCAGGACCATATTTTGGAACACAGGAAGCTGAGCTTTAGACAGGCAGCCAGATCACTGACCCACCAAGCTCAGTTTTGTTGACAATGAGTGGTAGCTGCTCTCTGGGGTCTCAGGCAAGGGTCCTTCCCTGTCCTACCTGAACATGTCAGGAATTGGACCAAAGATCTTTTGCATGAGAAGCAAATGATCAACCACTGAGCTATGGTGGCTCTTCCCCATCCCCTCTATGTGAGAGACCTTCACATACTTGACGATGGCTACCATATTGCCTCTTTCCCAGGATAAAGATACTCCATCAAACATTCCTCATCGGACTTGGTTTCCTAGCCCCTTTAGGGCTGGGCAATATCTGGTTTTCAACATTGTGATACAGCAGCAACTAAATACCGCGATATGCTGATATATCATGTCTGACTCTGGTATGTATCACGGCTGCTTCTTCCTCCCTGCCCAGCCCTACAAAGCCCCCATACCACTCCAGCTCACACGAGCTAGAGGAGCATCAGGGCTTCGTTCAGTTGCTCAGCTGGGGAACAGGAGCTTTCCTTAAAGGCACAAGCAAGCAGGCAGATGGAGCCCATCTGCAGGCAATTTGAGCTGGCGTGTTTTAGCACCAGCTCAAATTGTCTGAAACTGGTATTGTGATCTGAATGCCATACCAGTTTCAGACGATTTATCAATTTATCTATGCACATATATATGTAATTTTTTTATTTAAAAAATATGTTCAAAGATGCCAGTTTCAACAGCCCCTTTGCTCTTGTATGTGTCCACTTGCATGCACTCTTCCCATTTTTAACAGATTTATATGTGGTTGCCACCAGAGGGAGCTCCCCAGCAGATAATATAACATCTGCACAACTTTTGCCAGAAGTCTTATGGTGGTGGCCTCAATTGGAAAGAAAGATTGAAAACTTTTCCTGAAATAATTGAATCATCATTGTTTCAGCCAGGGACAGCACAGCCAACAGCAAAATTAGTCCACAAATGTTGTAAAATATGCTTGTTTTTAGCACAATGCCCTCCACCTCCCATTTGCTTGATCTGCTTGAAAACATAGATTTTACTTATTCCATTAAGGACTTCCAGCAGCGAGGCATAGCTGAATAGCTTTCAAACACAAAGCTAGGGAAGCAGCTTGTCTTAGTGTAGTAAAGATTGTTTTATTATGAGCAACAGGTTAAATACAACTCTGTACTATTAAAACACACAGAAAAACCAAGGTTACCAGAACACTTCCTGTGTAAGTTAATTTGTTCTGTATCCCAACAGTGAACATGAATATAGTGCAAAGTTAACTTGAGCGTCTCTTGCAAAATGTCATATTATTATAGGGTACTTTAATCAGTTCATGGCAGCAAAACAATAGTTTGCTAACTTCTTACCTGCAAACCCGTAACGGAGGAAATTGGTATTTCGTTTTTCCAGCCGATGAGGCAAGGGTGGAGATTGTATTGCCCTGTTCAACTTCAGAGGCGACTGAACACACAAGCCAGGAGGAGACCACAATGTTAGGCAATACATTAAGAAAATAAGCCTTGGATTCTGCCCAAGTTCTTCCAGGTCTTTCATTAATGGGCTTAATTACACTGATCCGTAAAAAAATATTTAATGCAGTCATGTAAACAAAAAAGCAGTTACATTCTTGTGGATTTGCAAACAGCTTTGATTCGTAAGTTCTTTCAGGAAAAAAATACTCAAGATATTGGTTAAGTGCTACTATTTCCATACATTTAGCAGGTGGCTGATCTAGCTAGTGTGGAAACCTGCCTTGACCCCTCTCTGATTCTTTCTCTCCACCAAGTCTGCCAAATGATCTCCCCGCTGTCATGGGGAACAACTAAAGGATGCTGCAAGTTATGACATCACAGTTGACTGTGTGTTGTCATTAAACTGGTTGCCTAGGGTACTGAAAGTTGAGATGATACAGGTATGGAAGTAAAAAATACAACACAAAGCCTGAGCAAAGAAAGGAGAAGATGAGGTTTGTAGCTCTCCCTGGACTCCTGCAAAACTGCCCATGGCTTGGAGAAGTTATCTCTTGCTTCTAGCTGAGAAGGCTGTACCACATTGTCCATACAGGGTGTACTGCTAAGTCAACAGGAATTGAGCAGACTCTGAAGCCTAAGGCTCAAGTGTCAGGTGGAGGGAAGCACATTCAGCGCTGATGCTGGTGAAGATTACAGCACAGACACTAGAAATTGATGAGCTAGCTCCCTTTATATGAATGTAGAAATCTGTCTCGACTTGGGGTTGGGGATCTAGCCACCCAAAAAATGATTATGTACCAGTTCCTTTTGTAGCTGAAAAGCCGGGAAATTGCAGACGTGCAGAGGGTTGCAATGAGAGAACAGGACTATTCATTAATGTTTTCCCCATTCCCTAGATTGCGGAATGATCTCCCCAAGAAAACTCAGCTTTCCAATGCCAGGCAAATACATATTTGTTCTCAAAAACTGAGACCATTTTTAGCCTGTCTTGATGCTCCTCTTTTAATGGGGTGGAGAAGTACATGTTTTTTTGTGTTTGTGAATGTTCGTTTATTTTTGTTTATTTGGGGGGCATTTTTATATTTCAATTCCTTGCAAGTCACTTTTCCTTGCAAAAAGATATGGGGGGAAATCGTAAATAAAAATAATGCACCATAACTCAAAAGTGTCAAAGGTAAGCCTGGCGAAACCTGTTGAAAGTTTTGATTGTAAGCTCCTCAAGGCAAGGGACTGTCCTTTAAGCGCCTGCACGTTTGCACTAACATATACTGTGCGGTAATGCAATGCCAAACAGGGTTAGTCCCAGGATTGGGATTAGTTCCTATTTCCAAATTCACAACACCACTTAATATTTAGATATTTAGCCCCATGAAATTTACTCCCATCCTAAAATTATGTGTGTATGAAGGCAGTTCATAAAATAAGCAGCCACATAAGCCCTTTATCATCACAATAAACATTTATTTTCAACGGAAGTATAGCTGCCCATTTCTGGTTGCTGACAGCGAGAAACAATAAACAGCTGAGTCTTATTGCTTCGTGGGTGGGGAATGTGGATTGCCTGTTTGATGGAAGAATCAACCATACAGCATACAGTATCAGAGACATGTGTCATCTTTTAGGGGTGACATTACAAGAAACACAAGAGCTACCTCCTTAGACGGCTCCCCTATGTTGGGTTCGCTCCTCCTGTAACATGCAGTAATAGCAATATTGACTTCTGATCTCATCACAAGTGTTTCCCCCTACTCCAAATCACCAGTTACTTACCTAGGCAGGTAAAGTAACATATGTGATGCTATTAAGAGTCAGGCGAAAGTTTTACTACACAATAAGGCAGGGGAAGAGCTCAGAACAAGGGCTGCAGGATCCTGCCTAGACTCAGCAGTAAGACTGATATTTAACACCCACCAGGATTTGAACTGATTCACTGACTTCAGGAGCCAAATCCCTTCGTTCCTTTGTCTTCAAGAAATGTTACGCAACCTTCAGTCTGACGCACTGACATGGTACATGATCACAATGGTAATTTAAAAGTATATACTGCCAAAACTGCACGTCATAGAGTCCCTGATTACCAACACATTGCAGAGTCCCAGGCTGCAACCCAAAATGTCACAGTGCCGCGTTTCACCGTAACAGCCATTTTATAAGGACAGAGAAAACTAAAGAGACTTATTTTCATAAAGCACTGGGTTTCCCCCCTCTTTCCTTTCTTTTTTATTTATTACTTGTATAAAGGGAATGGAGGTTATGTGGACTATAATTTCATTTGATCTTACAAGATGGAGGGGATGATTTCTGCACAGTAGTGGAAGATCAAATGTAAGTTCTGAGGTTTGAGTTTTGCAAATGCTTCACATGCATACATTAACCTAAACTTGCTACGATCATGATAAAAATAAATAATACATTTTTTTTCCATCCCAAAACAAAAACAAAAAACCCTACACACACTTGATTGGGACTTTTTGTTTTGACAGCAGTGCTTGAGTGTTCAATTAAAATACTAGCCAGCTGTATGTTAAAAGTATATGCACAACCATAAAAAAAACAATGTACTACACAAATCATCTAATAACTACCCATTAAAAAAAAAACAAGAGCAAGTACATCCACCTTTAACTAGTAATTCTGAATATTGGCATGCCAAAAGAAACTTAACTGTCTGTCTTGGATCTTTAAGATGCTAACTTGAATACAAAATGGTGCCAATTGTCACTGCATTGACAGCTTGGTGTTTTTAAAAAGTGTGTTAAAATTGTGTCTGAAGCTTTAAACAGACATAAATAAATGTAAGTTATTAAAACAGGCTGGTGAATACTGGGAAATAGGTCGGGAAATTACAAAAAAGAAAAAAATTGCAACTAACATCTACTATGTCTAGAACAATTTAAAACAATCCAACTCGGAGCAGAATTTTCAGGAAATTTTAGAAGAGCATCAGGCACTGCCATGTCTGTCTGCTGCAATCATTACAGGAAGAAACTATAACACGTTATCAGTCCTGATACATTGATCACATATGCATTCAAAATTACAGATAATATGTACAAAGTGTTTTTTGGGATGGGGTGGCGTCATGGACTGCTTAGCCAGCTGTTGCACTTGCTGCAAAAATGAGGTAATTTAAATGCACACAAGTTAATTCTAGTTCAGTTCAGGGTCCATGCTATCTACACTTAAGTTCAGACAGCTTAAGTGAATGGATTATTATTATTATTATTATCATTATTATTATTATTATTATACATTGTAAGAAATAAAAATAATTTGATCCAGTTAAGTCCTACTTTGTAGTGCTTGTTATGCAACACTGACTAAATGTCAGAAGACTTCCCAGCTTGATTTGACAACTGGTCTTTCAATAGAAAGAAAAAGAAAAGAACAACAGTAAGTTTGTTATAAATTGGTTTCATCCCAAGATGGATCATTCATACTCTTTAGAACTTTCCGGACAAGTTTTTCCAACTCCTTGCGAGCTCTTTGTTCTTCTTCCAGCGACTTCTTCATCTTTTTGTTATCCTAACAAACAAAAGAGAAACATATCATGGTAACCTGGTCTGAACAGCTGGAAGATTAGTTTCTCATCAAGATGTTTTTATAAGGAGAAGACATGAGGATCTCATGGAGCACTAGTCTGTTGCTCTAGAATATTATCCAGGGACCAGAGATATTTTGCCTCATGAGGTAAAAAAACATTTCTAAATCAGTAGGCCCAAGCCACAAATGGAAGAAAAGGTATCATATTAGAAGGGGCTCCATTTTAAGTACATGAACAATGTTAAGTAAATAGTCATAAAGTATAACTATTTATCGGGTCACGGGTGGCGCTGTGGGTTAAACCACAGACCCTAGGACTTGCTGATCAGAAGGCTGGCGGTTCGAATCCCCGCAAGGGGTGAGCTCCTGTTGCTCGGTCCCTGCTCCTGCCAACCTAGCAGTTCGAAAGCACATCAAAGTGCAAGTAGATAAATAGGTACCGCTCCGGCGGGAAGGTAAACGGCGTTTCCGTGCGCTGCTCTGGTTCTCCAGAAGCGGCTTAGTCATGCTGGCCACATGACCCGGAAGCTGTACGCCGGCTTCCTCGCCCAATAAAGCGAGATGAGCGCTGCAACGCCAGAGTCGGTCACGACTGGGCCTAATGGTCAGGGGTCCCTTTACCTTTACTATAACAGGGGGAACTCCACAAAACATTAAAATCATGTTTTGTGGAGTTCCCCCTGTTACTCGAAGCTTAACATATCTCCAAAAATAATTATCTTGTACAAAGTAATGCTGAAATGTAGGAGGAAGTTATCTGTCCTGTCATCACAAGAATTTCCACTTGCACAACGAGACTTTCCCACCTCTACTAACCCTGTGCGGCCCCTGAATCTGTTCCCCAAATGCTTCAGAGCTGATCTAGGAAGGGCATTGGCTGTGCACAGGATAGGGGGTAAGGAGACAGGGAAAGCAGAAATCCTTGAGCTGACAGCATGATTACTTAACACTACTGAAAGGTTCATTTTATTCCTGTTAGTCTCTGACTAAGAAATCCTGATATTTAGGGATATATTCCACTTTGGGAACGTGGAACACTGAGAGCAAAAGGGGGGGGGGATATAAGACTAGCCAATGTTCTAGACATGTGTCCAGCCTACATTTCCGCATCTGCGTTACTTGGGAATTGCTTTCCGGGGCTTGTATTATATGGCTTTCATTTTCACAAACTGTTTACAATAACACATCTGCTTAAATGCCGCAACAGTTAGTTAGCATCAAAAGCAAAGAGAAGGCCATGTGTTTATAGCTGATGATGGGGGGGTAAGGGGAGTTGCGACGCAGCTTCACGTTCACTGTTTCTTGATAGGGCTTATGCATTTCCATAGAATGACTCGGCTTTTCACAATTAGTACACTAGGTATTACATTGCCGTCAGGTCATAGGAGAGCAAGTGCAAAGGCCTAGTGCCTATATGTCACAAAGAAGAGACCAGCAGTGAAGAAGGAGGGAGCTGCATGGAGTAATGCTGACCCCACATTAGTAACAGTAATAGCAGTAATCAGCAAAGTAAGGAGGATATGTAGAATGTTGGCCCACCTTGACACCTGACAGACAGATCTAAAGGAGGCAGAGCACACTCTTCAGACATTTGCTATATAGCCCATGGTACAGGGAGCAGAAAATTAATGCTCCTCCTTCAACCTCCACTCCAGCATTGATGCTATGAAACAGCATTGCTACTGGGGCTTACTGATTCTATTGCTAACTCTTTGAAATCTTAAATGGCCTAAACCACAGCATACTGCCCCCTCCTAGTCTGTGTTGATAAAGGGTGGGATATATATCTTTTACCAACCTGTCTTAATTCCTGAACTTCATCCTTTAATGCATATACTGTGTCAACAAGACTTCTAAAACAGAAAATTAAGATAGAATACTTTGTAAATATATTACGTTAAAATAAATATAAAAATCACATCAAGAACTATCAATACACATTTAAACGAGAAGCCACACAATTTTTAAGGTGGAAAAGACAGGGAAACAAAAATGGCCAACGTATTCCTCTGCAGTATCTCTTGGTCTTTTCTGGCATATTCTTAATTTAGCCTTTCTTGGAATAGAGGTTATACAACTAGGCAGCATAAAATCACTTTGCTTGGTTAGGGAGCAATATGCTATAGCAGATGCTGTTCATCTGCAAATCCTCTTTGTTTTAATGGGCTTTGAGATGAAGCAACTCTTAACTGCACATTTTAAAACGGAAACAATAACGTTAACCGGTACAAAAAAAAAGCACCTAGTAGTGATTCTATATATTTATAAGAGCAGAAATCCTGGAGCACTCAAGAATGCCACCTTACCCAACAAAACTGATCAATTCCCAGCTGGTACAAGGATGAAGGGAAGAAGATGTAAAGAGAAAAGTTAGAGAACCGAAGATTGTTGATATTAGTCTTAATGCGCTAGAGAGGAACGACAGTGCACATTTATACGCAAGTCAGCAATGAACTCCAGTAGGATATTCATCTGCTTAAATATAAAGCCAGTGAGTATATAAGGAACAAGTTTATATGCAGCTCAAGTTATCACACAAAAACTTCCTATGCTCCAGAACGTGGACTGCTTAAAAGCCATCATTTTGCTAAAAGAAATTAAAAAATCTTACTTTTCTTCTATCACAGTCTGACCATTACTTTTTGTTTCTTCTACAATAATTTTCTCCTCCTCTGGAAGCAGTACTTGGGGAGCAGATTCTTTACGGGAGCCTAATGCAAAATAATAGAATTAAAAGATAAACATCCAGGCACTATTAAAAGCATATGAAAGAATACGTTTCTAAAAACTGCAGGATTGTTATTACATAGCAGCTATTTGAAATATTGGACATGGGGACATATCATGTCTAGTTCTCTTTTTTGGGAGGGGGGCATATGCCAATTACTTCCATAGGTATATTCACACTAGTTTATGTGAGACTGACCAACAAATTGCCACTTATGTTTTTCCAGCTATGAGCAGATTAGATTAGCACTGCCTAGTTAAATCTAAGAAAACTATATAGAGAGCCTAGTAACATAATCAGGCAATAATGATCTTTCGCCAGTAACTTAATCAGGCAATAATGAATTTTCACTAATATAATTGAAATTTCTATAGATACTGCAAAAGCACGCCATATGAAAATATCTTGGTTGGTTGTGATCGCCTGACTATATAATACACCTAATAAAAGAGGCATTTCTGATAAAATATTTAGGAATCGCAACTGCTTCAATGGAGTAACCTGGCTCTAAAATTGGTTGGTCATTAGAAAAAAAATTGTAATGATGCTCTACTATATTTTCTAAGCATAATTCAAAGTATTAGCCTTCACTCTGAAAATCTATTTGACCTGAGTCACATAATATAGAGACTGCTTCTTCTCTTATTTGTCACTATAAATTTTAGGATCAAGGGGGGGAACACATTCTTGACAATATTCTCAGAACTAAACACAAATCAGGAGTAGATACAAAGGAACAACCATACAAGAGGTGTAGAGGAAAATATTTCTGCCACAACAGCTAAAGAAACACACCACCACAAAGCCTATATAGAGAATTGTTTTATCACTTATCTGTACCAAATGTGTAGTTAAAGCCTCCTTACAACCTGACAGGATGATAACAGTTTACCAGGTGGCAAGTTCCCATTTGGCAAATGGTCACTAGTTAAACCGAAAACCTATGGTACAGAAATCTTAATAAGCCACTTACACACAGGAGTTGTTCTGAAAATAGGATCAAAACCAGATCTTTTATGCTGCAAACGTAGGAAAAAAAGATACAAAACAAGTGTTTTCCGTCTAACTTGCTCAAACTCAAGAACTTTAAGAAGTAAAATCAAAGGACAAGGCAAGGTAACATAAAAATAGATGTTCTTTTAAACAAGGAGTACTTCATCATTACCCAGAACAATTAGGCACAAGAAATATCGTTGATACATCACTGCAACTAATTTTAAAAGAATAAACACCATAAAAAACCACCATGTCGTAAAAAGAGGCAACACTGAATGAATTGTGCTATTCTTTGCACACAACGATGACACATCATTAACTTTTTAAATACAGTGTAAATCAAGTAATTTCTTGTTACCGTACTGAAATAAAGGATGCTATTGCAATAACGACACTGAAATTGATGACATGGAAACACTGTTATCCCTTTGTGTGTGGTAAGGAATAGCTTTTATTTCCAAACATTTTTATCAGTAGCTCCCTGACATAAATTAAAAACCTAAATCCAAACTATCAGTTCAGTCCCTTGGAAATTAGGTAACTATCATTTTAGAATGTATGAGATCTGAAGCACAATTTATTTCAACAAGTAATGCTTTGATTTCATGGATGTTACAATAAATGGAGAAGGAAAGGGAACTGGAAGGAATGTAAGCCTTATGGATGGCATCAAAAACGGTTAAGTTACTAAATGTTTTTTGATACATGGTAAGACAACCAATACATGATTCTAGCAAACATGACTACACAATAGGCCAGATCTGCTTCTCGACTCTAATTTATTTACGTACTAAATAACAATCTAAACACAACCTTCAGCTTGACCTGCTATCACTTATTTCCCAATAATAATGAACACTTAGAAGCACAGTCCTTGTGTCTCAAAACAACTTTGTTAAACGTTTAGGATATTAAAACCATCCAAGACTTGTATCTTCTAAAAAAACATGCAGTTGCATGGCAAGAAAAAGCATGGTTTTGTAGTGACGGAATGGGCTGAAATGGAGGCACATCAAAGCTCTGTATACAAGAAGGGGAAAACAAAGACACTTCCACACTTTTGGTCTAGAAAAACCACAAAAAAAACCACCAAGCATTTCAAAACATTTTAATTACATAAATCTGAAAGGTTTATCTAGAGATCCCACAATTCATTTAGCAAAGGCTTGGGATGGAAATCTACTGATTGACCTACAGCTCATTTCACAAAATGACCACAACTTTTCAATATTGAAATTAATTTATGCCCATTGAAGTGAATGTTCCTAACTTGTATTTACAAGCCAGGAAGTAGTGAGCAAGTGGTAGTGACTTGTAAATGAGCCCATGTTGTGTTGATTTTCTTCTGTTAATTCAAATGCTTTGATTAACCCAACAGAACTTACGTAAGTTCTTCTGTTTCCCAGAAGCCAATATAAGAAAGCCATCTATGCTGTAAATTTGCATCATACAGAATATACAGAAATGTGTAAGCAACCAGCAGGAACACATACATGTTTAGAATTACATTAAAACAGAAGCAAACTAAAGCAAGATAAACTTTTGCAACAAACAGGTAGACTGTTAATAATGGAAGAAGTTTTGAAAAACAATATCCAGCAACATCAAGCCCAAGCCGCCCATGTTATAAAATTCTGCACTTAAAAAAAAATTACAAGTACAAATAGCAGCTGCTGGGGAAGGGAGATTGGAGGGGACATTTAACCCTTTCCTCCCTTGCAGTGGTCCTCATGGAACTTGTTCACTTGAAGCTATTTGCATTGGGAGGATATATTCATTTGTGTCAATGGAGGTTTCATCCCAAAGCAAACAGCAGCTTTAAAAGGGAGTGATTTTCACTGACAAAATCCTATCATTCCTACTGAAGTTGAAAAGTGTCCCCAGATTCATTGAAAAAAATCTGGTAACCTTATGATAGAGCCACTGAAAGTGCTGTTTTAAAGGTTTCCTCAATGTTGATTTTCAAGTGTGCATTCTACAATAATCATAAGCCAATATCCAATGAGTATTTTACAAATAAGGAAGTTGACTTTCCTGTTTTGCCTCCCGCTCCCAATATTTCCACATCATGGCTTATGGCTTCCTGGATTACAAAAGCATGTGATTTACTTCTGCAGGCTCTTCATCATTTATAAAATAAGTGAATGTTCTTGTTTAACTTAAATTTCATTGGATTTGTAAATATACTTCACAGTGCTGTGTTACCAAAGTAAGGCATGAATATGTCTAAAATTACAACCACCAGCTGCTCTTTTTCTTTCATCTCTGTAAGAGAAGCTCTATTCCTTATATGGGTATGTTTTGTTCCTTGAAATTAAAAATCAAGTAAATAAATAAATAAGAGATTTTTCCAGGCTGCAATTCTAGAGGTAATCCTGTATGACCTGCAAGCATGTACCTGGGACCAAAATAACTTAATTTTTATAGCTGGGTAATCCAAATTCTGCACCATGACAAGTATAAAATTGGAACATATATAAATTAAGTAACATTTGCACACATACACACAAAATGTGTTGCACAATGTTATGATTTTTACATTCTTGCATAATTTGAGTTTGCTTGCAATTAAAAACAGCAAGATCAACGAAGCCCACCCCTTGATTTCAGTGGGACTCAAGCTCAATTTGCAAACTCCTTGTCTTTAAGTAAGATACTATAAATCTTTTGGTTTGATTTACAAATACCTATAGATGTGCTTTGCAAAATGACATGTTCAATGGTCTTTAAAACTGTGGTAAAAATAAAACTAATATCATATCAAGGTTAAAAACTATTGCAGTTTGCACTAACAATCTCATTACTTAGGAAATACAGGACACAGGACACACACACATGGCAATCATTATTTTATTCACATCTCAACTGGTACTCCAATAACAAATTCAAAGGGGCTTGCTTTGCTAATTGATATACTTTAGATAAATAATGCATAAAATCAAGAAAATAGCTGGTGAAAAGAGAGTGAGAAAAGAATAAGGGATTAACCATGATTAAAGATAAAACTTTCTGATCTGTAGATTTAAAACCAAACTATGGAACACTGAAAGGTATAATCCATTTGAAGAAGTTCATCTGAAGATATGTCAAAGTAAATCATCACAAAAGATGCCTGAACATCAATAGGAAGTCCCAGTCAAACCATTAGAACAGCACACTTCATGACATGGTAACGTGGGTGGTTACTGGGAGACAGACATGCGAAAGGGTTGAAATCAGAGCTCGACAACCTCCACACCCTGCAGGAGGCTTTTTTAGCAGCACACACACACACCAAAGTATCATCAGCCAAAGTTCTCTGGACTGGTGTCAAGAACATGTTTACATCCTCAGCCAACACTGCTGTTCCACTCGCCAGGCTTCTGCATGTGCAATGGAGCTTCCTCCTCCACTCCCCTGCGCACCTGCAAAATATGCTGCACAGTGATGGGAGATTTTGGAGATGCACAGGGAGGGGAGATGAGAAGTGGAATTCCATTCATGCAGCGTTGAATACATCCTTCAATCTAGGAGGACCAGTGTCTACTTCCAGGCATTCTGGCTTGTCTTTAATATGACAAACTTTGAGGGGAGATGACAGCACTGCTGCAAGAGGTAGTGACAAGAGACCCTCGTAATGGCAATGCTTCCACTTACAAAGCACCTTGTCGATCCATATGCATTACTCAGCTAAATGGGCCAATTGTCTGGCTTGGTATAAGGTGTGTTTCTGTCAATTCCAGTACTAATGATAATGAAGCAAAGAACAGATAGGAAAGACAAGTACATTCCCCAGGCCTCAAGGAGAATAAGTACATGAAGAAGGAATTGTGCACTTTCCCCAGTCAGTATAAGTATAATTAATTAATTAATTAATAATAATAATAATAATAATAATTTATTTATACCCCACCCATCTGGCTGAGTTTCCCCAGCCACTCTGGGCGGCTCCCAATCAAGTATTAAAAACAATACAGCGTTAAATATTAAAAACTTCCCTGAACAGGG